TTTGTAGATGTTCGAAAATCCTAGGAGAGGCAGGCAAGCAAGAAATTTTACAACAAATGTTCCGAAAATTCTAGATCTCAAATCGTCTTCCGAACAGATATTTTCCGAAAATTGCCGTTGGGTGCCCCTAATAATATAGCAAAAAAAAGCGCCAAAAATTCCAAATTTCTTTTTCATCCTTCCATACGTGTGTCTTAGAGTGGAAGGGTTAATCTATGGGGACGGTTTTAGCTCTATTTGGCTCTTCATCATGACAAGTGTTTTTCTAATTCTAATTCTCCATCTATACTGGACTGATCAACAACTGTGGAGACTATCATGTTAGCTTCCACTGATGTTAACATGACAAATAAAAACATGGATTTGACATGACTAGTGGTGGAGACAAGAGTATACACGCTTGTTCAATCGTTTATTGTTCAGTTTACTTTTTTTTCGTTAACGATGACTCGTGATCAGAGAAGAGATGGCTACATTCTCGGCGGACTTCCCTGGCTGGTTTTTTTTCTTGGCTTGAACCTGAAAGTCTAACTCAGTATTTCTTTTTCAACCAACGTAACAGCTCGTCTACGACTTTTGCTTAATTGTGAGAGGTTGGCAGGAGCTTCTTCTCCAAGTGGAGTGTTCCAAGAAGCTGTGATGCAAGGATCCACAGGCATTACCCTTGTCTCAGATCAGCCACAAACCGACTTTGCGAGAGGTACACAAGAAGAGGCTCTAAACACGCAGGAACCCGAAGGAGTGGCCCAGGGGATAGCCGTAGCACGTACACCTGTCAGCCCAAATATGCCACAAGGTGTAGTTACAAGGGATGTACGAGAGGGCCTTCCATCAGTGGTACGGGAACTTCCAGGAGTGGTACAAGGAGTCCCGTTAGTAGATCCTGTCCCCTCAAGTCAACCACAAATAGTGACCACATCTGAGTCTACCCAAGAAGTGTTGAATATGATTGCGTCAAAGTACTTACAGAAACTTGACCCATCAACACCTGAAGAGTTTAATGGTTTTAGAGAGTACATGGAAAAGGTACGTGAAGTGATTATTGTTGATGTTAAAACAGGAAGCTTGATTATCACTGTTGAATGCAGTTCTCTTCAAATCCTTGACGAACTGTGGATAGACTATAAAACAGGTCGTCTTAATGAAATGGCGCAGAAATACCTTGTGACAGAAGACGTTCTTAAAGCGTTTGGGCTAACAGAGCTGAAACTGAAGACAACGATCGTGGAGGAGGAGTACAGAGCTTGTCGCGAGGTTTTCTTAACGAGTTTGGGTAAGTACTCTGGTACTTAAAAAGTAACACTTTGATATCAGTTTCACACTCACAGTCAAATAACCAGACATTAAAAATAGTTCTAACTTTTTAAGCAAGTGAACAGACTCATAAGCTATATATAATGTGCGCGTAGCCCTGTGAAACAAATAATGGAACAGAAAATTAGCTTTGGGGTTGAAATAACCCATAACCCCTCTAAGCGTTAGCCCTAGAAAAGGGAATCAGGGGACCACACGAGGCAAAGAATCGTCTGGCTTCGTAGTGTAGTTGGTGTATGCAGAGCGACGGGGGAACTAATCCAGGGACCTTGATGGGTTGAATCCCACCACGGTCAAAACATCTGTTTTTTTTTTTGGGCCTCGTGTGGTCCCCTAATTTCCTTTACTACTGGGGCAAACGATCAGTGGGGTTTTTGGGTTGTTTGTAGCACATGAATTTTCACTAAAGTTAATTCTCTATTCCATCACAAGACTCACAACCAGTTGTCAGTGAGCTTTAGTTAACATGTGACGATTTGTCGTCCAGTATTTTGTTCATGACACTGGGCTTTTAACCGTTAAGATTTTCTTTATATGGAGAACAACTGAAGCCAGGTTTGCGGTAATCCTCGGATACTGACAACAAACAAATCATTAGCTGTCTTGGTAACTTGGTAACTAGCCCTGGATTTGAGCTAATCGTCTTTCAAACAGCTCGGTCCTGTCTTATTACTTAAAAAAAGAAGATCAATGATGTCGTTCACAAGCTGACAGATCACATACATAATCGTTAACGTTCAGCCTCCTTTCGCACTGACTCATCATTGATTAACTCCTTTATTTTTATACATACCAGTAAATGACGAACAAGCAGTGAGAAAGTTTGCGGATCTTGACGCATCTGAGGGAAGCAAACAACAAACCCTATCGGGTCAGCAACGCATAATC